ACCTCATCTATGGATTCTCAAAATTTCAGATTTTTGTGCATGTTCGTCTGAGCACAGAAAATCGTCAAAGTTGCCTCTAGCAAAACGCCTGTTTCGTTGTGCCTGACCTCCCCGTTTTGAGAAGACGGGGCTCAACGCCTGGGCCTGAGGGCCCTTTTGCAGTTCRCATGCCCTCACTTCTTTTTGGGGTCCGCTTCTACCCGGGGTCCGGTCCAACACCCCCGACTTCTTTTTGGGGTCCACTTCCACCCGAGGACCGGTCCTTCCTTTTTCCAAAAGTCCTGGTTCTAGAAGAGTTAGCTGTAGGTAGTCCGCAGTTTTGCCAAGGACCGGTCCCCCAAATTTTTTTGCCCCCTAAGAACCCACTTTGCGTCCTGGTCGTCCGCCGCCAAAAATGCGCCACATTGACACAGACGCGGAAACACACTATACCGCAGCCTAAGGGCTGCGAACAAGGAAAATTCTTTGTGGCATCCTTGTGGCCCCAGCCAAATTTTCCTTATCTCCAAGGGACCTCCTTGGAGCTCAAGGAACCGCAACTTTCGGAGCGGCGAAACCATGCATTGACGGAGAGCTTCGTTTTTTCAGTGGTCTAAACGTGGTCCGAGGCCGTTAGCACGGACGTCCCCCCCCTTCAACCTTTGCGTAGTCGCCAACGGCCTCCGACGGTTACCGTTGGCGCTCGGCCTCCGTTGGGTGGCGTCGTCATTTTCGGTTGGTGTCATGCGGTCTCCCGATCTCAGGGAACATCCGCATCCGTCGGAAAATTCAAATATTTTTTCCGGCGGCACCTGCCGATCGTCGACGGAAGCTGCTTGTGCACTGACATCATATTCCCTCGCATGCCGTCACATGCTGCACAACCGACGAGAGTCCTCCCTTCGTTGTCCTCTCCACCATCATTTGCTGGGAGTCCGATAACAGACATGGCATTGTTGTCGTCTCCACCATGCCGTTCATGATCGACTTGCGTCGCAGACTCTCTCTGTTGCTCCTCGTTGTGCTGCTTTTGGTTGCCCTCTTGCTCCACGTTTGTTTCCTGGGGCAGCTGCCTGGAGCTACACGCAAGAGGCGGTCGTCGAAAAAGGGCGACGGGATGGTCCGGCGTCTGAAGTAGAGCACTGATGGGCATGGTAGGAGGGTCATCGAGCCAGCATCGCATCACGGGGAGTGCAAGCAGTAAAGCGTGCCTCTAGCTGCCCTAGCCGAGATCTAGGGCTATCTAGTGATTTTGCATGTTCGGCCTGTTGGACTAGGCCGTTGCCTGACCCCACATGCCATGTGCTCATTTAGTTCAGTCCGGTCCTGACCAGTACCACTATCGATACCAGTCCAGTCCAGTCCAGTCAATATGTTGGGGGTATACCCCAACTACAGTCTGTTTTCAGTCTCATTCTTCATTTGCATAGTTTGGAGTATGTGCGTGTTAAGTCTGCGTTGGAACTGCGTTGTCCTTTCCAGCTCCATCTTCATTTCCCCCATCCCCATCCCTTCGTCTTGATTCTGACGGATTGTCATCCCGACGGGTCCGTCACACTGATATCAGAGCGGGAACGGTCCTCGCTCCCACCATCCCATCCCGCAAGTATGAGAAAATTGTGTAATCCCGATAAGGAGATTTTGGCCATTTTTCGGAGCCAAAAGATGGGAAACATCGAGAAAAGTGATCAGTGTTGAGTGACACACATGTGGCGAAAAAGGAGAGTGTCGTCACGACGTGCAAGCGCCAAGGCCGCCACACACGCACACACCACGCGTGCATGCTGCCTCGTTCCCAAATTATATTATACCAACATGTGGAAGTGTAGCTGCTAGGATTTGAACCTGGGCAACTACCCGCCATGCACATGCATAGCCAGTGCCTTAACGCATTGGCCAAACTCTATCCTT